GCAGCTGGAGTACTGTGTCCAGTTCTGGGTGCTGCACTTCAAGAGGGATGTGGACAACATGGAGAGGGTCCAGAGGAGGGCCACTTGCATGATCAGGGGGCAGCAGGGCAGGCCCTATGAGGAGAGGCTACGGGACCTGAACCTGTTCAGCCTCCACAAGAGAAGGCTGAGGGGGGATCTAGTGGCCTGTTACAAACTAGTCAGAGGGGACCAGCAGGCGCTGGGGGAGTCCCTGTTCCCCTGAGCACTACCAGGAGTGACTAGAAATAACGGTCACAAGCTGGCAAAGGGTAAATTCAGACTAGACATCAGGAGGTGCTACTTCACAGTCAGGGCGGCTAGGATCTGGAAAGTGGTGCTGGCTCCTACCTTGGGGGCCTTTAAGACAAGGCTAGACAAACACCTTGCTGGGGTCGTTTGACCCCAGTACTCTTTCCTGCCAGGGCAGGGGGTCGGACTTGATGATCTGCTCAGGTCCCTTCCGACCCTACCAACTATGAAACTATGAAGTCCCCGGCCCCACCCCCCAACCACTCTCAGAGCACATGTATAAAACACCCTTGGAACTGCTCCACCTCCATACCATGCCTGGGAGCACTGCCATGCGCTCCCTTCAAGCCAACTCCAAACACTGAGACAAGATAGCAGCCTCAATGCACCACTGTCCTGTGCTCAGCAACACTCTGTGGGTTGCCTGACTCAGGTTTTCTTCCTGAAACTAACTCAGCACAGTACAAGGGTAGCTACAACATGGAATTTGATGCATCTGGAGGAAGAAAATGCAAGCAGAGCATGCTTCACAGAGGCTCTCCTGGGCATAGTACAGAGAGTGGACGTGCCCTTGAAAGTGGAGAGATACCTCACTTAGCGCACATAAGGAGTGTTCACATGAGAAATTAATGCAGCGCAACTAGTGAGGTATGAAGTCATACTGTTGCTTACTATACACTAGCTTCTCTGTGCAGACAAGGCCTAAGCTGTGTATATTTTAATACGGCCAGTATTTCACTACATGCTACTTGGATGAAAGAATATTACAGGGCATTCAGCTGAAAGACTACCCTGTTGTTGTCGATGTTTTAAACAAGCTGGATAAGCCTTACCAGACAGTCACTCTCTCGAGGCCCTGTACACCCAGCAGCACACTGGTTATGACAACAGTCACTGGGGACCCTTCCCATACACCGGCCTGAGCACTGCTGGGCACAGATGACTTTTGTCACTAAAAGACAGAAAACACGGAATTAAGCATGTGTATTTGCTAAACTGAGAGGTACACATAACAGGGAAAAATGTTCAGAGAAAAAAAAACCAGACAGAGGTTATAAGAGGTCAGACAACTCCTAGTCACTGCAGGGAAGGGGCTCAGTTCTAAAAAGTGCTGATCAGAGCACATGAGTTCAAGCTTAAAGTGACGCATGTTCTTCATGAGAAAGGGGCTAGATTGTTCAGCAACCTGCAGAAGAGATCATTAAATCTAGTGTTTAGTATCAGTGGAGTTGCAACCAAATCAGTGACCTGGCAGCAGGATTTAGCCCTGCTTTACAGAGAAAAATCAACTACCAGCTAATGTTTCCTTTGCGATAGCAAGAGGATGGGAGGGTGGCCAGTCATTATGGGCTCCTACAGATGTGCAGGGAACCTGCTCTGAAATCCAGCACATTGGAGTGGACTCGATTAACCGAGTCTGCTGGAGTACAGAAACTGACGCCCTCCAGAAGCCTTCCATGTCACATGCATCAGCATCCCTGAACTGAAAAAACAGCGGCAGGGCGCTTTGAAATAAAGCACGTTTGATGAGCTTTAGTTCAAAGTGCCCCACCACCATTTTTTCAGCACAGGGGCACATGGGGATGCTGATACACGTGACATGCAGGCACTTTTAATTAGTGTAGCTTGCTAATTAAAGCACCCAGCACCATGTCCCAAACCATGTATAAAAATGTCCTGGAACACCAGTTAAACCTACTAAAAATATTCCTGAAATTTGCAAAGGACAAAGAGCACTTCTCAGAAACTGACTGAATTTGACTACTACACTTATTTTTTAAACTTCAGTACCTTTGGTCAAATTTCCCTCTTTATTACTTAACTCCCAAAGGGATTGTACTAATATAAAACTGAGAGGCAAAACTGGCCTTGAACCCATTTCCATTTCCAGTACGAAAGAAAAACTGCCTGCATCAAAATTACCCTGACTAGAATACGAGAGAGAGAAACAGCAACAAAACAAAGCAAAACCACATAATTCATTGGGTGGAGTATATTTGTGCCGCTATCCTAAACTAGACAGAATCAAATGTGCTCAGCTGAGTATTCTGCAATGGCAAATCCGTCCCCCTCTGCTCAGATAAGTGCCCGTGCTTCCTGAGCTAGAGGATCTGATGTCTAAGCCATTGTCATTTTGAGCACATGACATGCAGCTGGGTGACAATGATCAAGTCCCCAGATGGGAACAGATTAGCTATAACATCAGGGCACCTATACACATACATTGAGGCTGCTCCAATGCAAAATTACAGCGCATTGGAGCAAACTTAATTACTCAACTCTGTTGGGGAGTGGTAATTACTGCTCTCCAGCAGACTCCGGGCATCACATGCATCAGTGTCCCCATGCTGAAAAATGACAGTGGGGGCACTTTAACTAAAGCCTATTTGATGAGCTTTAGTTAAAAGTGGCACCATCAACATTTTTCAGTGTGGGGACACCGATACACGTGATGCTCTGGGAGCTTTTATCAGAGCAGCTCATGGAGCCACTCTAAAGCAGCCCCCTCCCTCCGCCCCCCACCTCCTGGAGCATGTGTATAAATGCCCTTAGTTTTAGCTCAGAAAAAGGCCACAGTCCGGGCATTTACATCATCAGAGAATAGCACTCTTCTACAGGGTAAATCAACCAGAGTACACTTGTTTCTTTCCTCCTCTTTTTAATTATTATTTACTGCCACTGTCTTTTAGGATTTATTATTTTTCTGAACATGTATGTTATAACAAAATACTACTTTCCAAGGAAGAGATAATTTCCAAAATGCAAACAGCTAATCAGAAAGCAATTTCTTCATGCAACCAGGAACCAGGAGAGTGGGAGTGAAAGATGCAATGTTTTACATTAACAGAGCTTTTATATAGACTTCATAAGCATCACCAGGGGAGTAAAACAGCTCATCATTCTGATAACAATTGACAAAATTTTCCTGCTGGAAATAAATCATAGTAAAAGTTGATATATCCCATGTAGTCTATCCCACGTTTGTTCAAAGAGAGCAATACACAGCATATAAAACTTTCCCACATATGGGATGAATTTTAGATAGACCAAAATCATAAATGCCCTAAGAAAAGCCTCTGAGCCTGCAAACAACTTTATGCACTCTGACTAATCCCACTGAAGTCAAGGCAATTGCTCACAGTGCATAAGGTAACTGCAGGATTAGTCCCAATGCCCCCAGCACCAGTATATTTTGTGAGCAGTTATGAAAGATTGAGGACTGAAGCCATGATTGAAAAATGTTGAAATTGGTGAAAAATCAAGGGGGAATATGAGGGTTTGCAGACATTTTGGGGGGATTTTTTCCAACCAGCTATGGAAGCTATAGTTCTGACCCCAATACTTTTCAGCAAGCAACTCAGATTCAAATAAAAACACAGGGCTGGATTTTTCTCATTCATGCGAGTTTAAGGCAAGAATCTTTTTCCTGAACACTTTGGAATTACATTAATGAAAAATTGGCATGAGAAAAAAGACAAACCCATCACATTTTCCTGAATGCAGGCTAAACAAACATCACAGATATGTTCCCCATTAGTCTTCCCATTCTGTAAAGTAACATTCTCACAAAATCTTAAGTGTCTCTGAACATCTTGTGTCTGCTGTTCTCTCAATGCTGCAGGCAGGCAGGCACGGCATATGGAAAGTTACAGGGTAAAGCGTGTTCGGTTACTAAACAATCCCAAAATACCCTCTAGTAACTAAACACCCCTCTCCTATGGAGTGCATCTCCAGGACCACATACTTATTTTCTAAAGGTAACCAGGATTTCATTTATAAGGACCCATGGGTCAACTGACTATGACTTCCTCTGGTCACAAAGAAATTCTACAGATGCAAACTCAGAAAATAAAGTCAGGATGAATTACTTTCATCAACGTTATACTGGAAGCAAGAATAGTGCAGGGCAAGTGACAGAATCTTAGAAAAGTAGGTCTGGAAAGGACCTCAGGTGGTCACCTAGTCTCACCCACTGCTGCCCATAGCAGGATCATCTCTTTTTAAACAATTCCATTACAGCTACTGGAATTCTCTTTTTATAACAATTATATTCCTTGAAATTTGGGAGCAGGGGGGGCACCGGATACAGGAAGTACAAGGGGGCTGCAATCTTCATCACATGCAGAGATTGAGCATTTCTGGAAGAACACAGATAAATCTTAAATTGTTTTGAGGCTTCTGAGCTGTTCATGTGGCCTCCTCCCTCTCTTTGGAATCAGGGCTACTTAGGGAGGAGATGCAGCACCTAAGGAATCAAAATGGCAAGAGGGCAGATGAGAGTGCATGTCTGGAAGTACATCAGTATTCGTTATCACTTGACTATATTCCACGGTGCCCCAAAGTATTCTCAGGAATAGGATGGAAGCAGAAAGGTGTTTGTAAAACACTTAACACCATGTTATGACTTGACAAGAAAGTTATAAAAAAGGAACTCGTAAGTTCATCCAGCCATGGATACTTTTAATTCATTTGTAGACTTACATGTTTGACAGTTCTTTTCTCCAGCACCCCAGCAGTGATCTTCTGTGCAGTTTGAATGGCATTTTGGACCTAAAATACAACAGTTAAATTGTTATGAAAATCTGAGTAAGAAATTTATATTTGTATATATCTATGCATGTACTCCAGAGTTGTATTATCGAGTCTGCTCTGACACGTGCTAATTAGCATGAGATGGAGCAGACATCCGGCACCTGTATAGAAGCCTGTAATTTTCACATAATGCTACATACACCAAGACTGTGAGAAAGGGACTCTTGATCCTTCAGTCCCAGAAAAAACAGAAAGAGCACACTTTAATTCTGGTATTTCCAAACTTTTGAGTGCTTCACTTTACACCCTCAACTTTCATTTAATGTAAACTTCTTGTAGGATATTATTTTAATAAGCAAATGGAAAAACAGATGGAAAACCTTGCACAAAGAACTATACCAAGCACACCAGAAGCAGGGCTAGAACCCAACATTTACAGCAAAGACCTTTATTACTTGAGCTAATGGAATAAATCGTAACAGTAAGCGCTTCCCCACTACGAGCACACCCAAACTAGCCTGCACATGCCTCTTGCGGTGCCTCAAAGCAGTTTGAGATGCTGCAACAGGCATGCTGGGAACAAAAAAAAAACGTTCCCCATGCTGCATTATTTGCAGCATGGGCCAAAAGTGTTGTACCTGGAAATCCAGGTTTAAAAAAAAAAAACACCAAGGGAAAAAAGCGGGGCAACTGGAGGCTGGGGCCTTCCAAAGAAACTCTCCAATAGCTGGCTAGAGAGTATTTGTGTCTGCTTCTTGCCCCGTGGCTTCAACATGCTGCCTCCACGTGTGGGTCAGCCTGGAGCGGTGCAGCCTGCAGCCTGATGGGACCAGGCTCCATCTCAGGTAAGTAAGGGACTTAGGGGTTAGGGGGATAGACTGCGTGGCTGTAGGGGACTGTGAGTAAGGGGGGCGGTCTGCTTGGGAAAGGAGGGCCCACAGCCTCCCTGCTCCCCCCGCCCTGCAGCAGCAGCGGTCATCTCGGGGCCTTCCTGGCACCCCACCCCTCATGGCATTGCCTGAGCCACATCGCATGGGCCCAGCCCAGCCCAGGGCTGTGTGCCTTCAGGCAGCTCCGGGCTGCGCAGGCCCTGCACACCACTGGGCTGGGCCGGTTCCATGGAGGCAGGCCCTTGCCCGGCGCAACAGGCGATCCCTGCAAGTGGTACCAGCCCAAGCAGCCCAGAGCTGCCCAAAGGTACACGGCCAGTGCTGAGCTGAGCTGGGCTGGGCCCATGTGATGGGGGCACAGGCAGCACCAAGCAGCTGAGGCCTCACCATGCTGCTCCGTGCTGCAGAGGGGCTGTGCCAGGAGGGCCCCAAGCACCCCAATGGCTGCTGCTGCTGCAGGGGGGCTGTCAGCTGTGTGTGTGGGGGGGAGGGACATGTGTGCCCTGTGGGGGGGCATGTGTGGTACAGGGGAGGCATGTGGGCCCTGTGGTGGAAAGCTGTGGCTTTGTAGGGGGCATTGTGGGCTCTGCAGGGGGAGCAGTCCATGTGCTGTGCAGGGCAGTTGCACCCTGTGGGGGAACAGGGGACCCATCCCTCCTGAGCAGCCACCCCCACACTCACAGTCCCCACACAATCCACCCACAGCACCAAGCCACCCCCATAAACTCCTCACCCACATACACAGCCACAAACCCCAAACCCCTGCACAAGCCCCATGTCCCCCAAACCTCACCCCCGCAAACCCTACACCCACCCACAAACTCCCCCAACCCATCCTCCAAATTGATTTACACTTGTAAATATATCAATATAACATTGCCCAACTGATCTGTCTATATGCAGTGGCATTTCATTTTAATAGCAGAAGATCACTATTTGGGTACTTTAATGAGAGAATTTGGGGCTCTTATCAGAGTATTTGCAATTTTTAAACAGGGAACACCAGGATCTCTGCTTGTGAGATAAGTGGCAAGACCCAGGCAGAGGAGCCTGTCCAGGGCCAGCACTCGGGACCCAGCTGGAGGGCAGATGGGGTGGCTGACCTCTTGGTCATTTGAATGCTTTGACAGTTCAAAGCAGGCCACTGAAAGGAGCACATCTTCTGGACAACAGCTGCCCAGATGGCAGAGCAGGGGCACCCCATCCAGGTCTGGTAGGCATGTCGCCATGTGGGGCCACAGGTCCAAGGGGGCGGATGCTGTCTGTCACAGGTGGCAGCAGCCCCACTGCCAGACTGCTGCAGTGGGTAGAGGGTGCAGGGGCCGCTCCAGGTTAGGGCTGCTTCAGCAGTCCAGCTGGCACAAGGGGTAGTGCCCCCAGATACTAAGTGGCTGGGCCTCAGAAGCTCCTGAGGACAAGTAGCCCTGAGCTGCTTGCCAGGGCATGATTTTATATTGTTGGGGCCAGCACAGAGCAGGTTTTTATATTCTAGCTCTCCCTGGCTGCAGATCCGGGAGGAGCTGGGTAGGATCATTTTGCCTCACCCCAAAGTGCACATCCAGGCACGTGCGCTGAGGCAAAAATCTCTGGCATTCATAGAATCATAGAAGCAGGGTCAGAAGGGACCTTGTAGATCTTCAAGTCCGACCCCCCACCTGGGCGGGAGAAAAACTGGGCTCAAATGACTCCAACCAGGTAG